TGTGAGCCACCATGTGGTTGCTGGGAATTGAACTCAGGACCTCTGGAAGAGCAGTCAGTGCTCTTAACCTCTGAGCCATCTCTCCAGCCCTAATCCAGACATTTTGAAGTGGGAAGATCCACCTTTAATCTGGGCCACACCTTTTGCTGGTACCTCTATTAAAAGACATGGAGGAAGAAAGCTTGTTCCCTTTGCCTGCTTGCTCTCATTTTCACTGGCAAGTCCATTCCTTTACCAGCATTAGGACCTACTTCAGGATTCCAGCACATACTGGCTACTGGACTCTTGGACCTTCCATTGGAAGACATCCTTTGTTGGACTAGCTGGATCATAGCCTATAAGCCATTATAATAAATCACACACACACACACACACACACACACACACACACACACACACACACATTCATTCAATCAATTCTGTTCCTCTAGAGAACTCTGACTAATACATATATACACTAACAATAGAAAAAAGAACACATACTGTAGGGAATGGAGGAAGCCCTGAGTAAGTGAAATTCTGAGGGAGGGTGTATTTTGGTATGAGCAAGTCCTGTTGGCCATGGGAAATTGGTAAAGCCATTATCTATGGACCAGGCTTAGAGGGATGGCAGAGTTTTCTTCAGGAGACTGGGTATGAGTGTTTATGAACGACTGACCAGTATGTGCAAAGACTAGCAACTGCAGCTTCCTCCTCCAGGTGCTGACAGCCTTAGACTGCTCGCCTACAGAGACCTCCTAGGAAGACTAAACTAGCCCTTCCCCCTGTGCTGTACCTAATAAACATGCTAAGGTTTCAGGTTTCAGTGATAGCAGTAGTGTTATAAAAAAAAAAAAATCATTGGGTGGTGGTGGCGGTCACCTCTAATTCCAGCACTTGGGAGGCAGAGACAGGTGGATCTCTGTGATTTTTGAGGCCAGCCTGGTCTACAGAGAGAGTTCCAGGACAGCCAGGGCTACACAGAGAAACCCTGTCTCGAAAAACAAACAAACAACAACAACATAAAAAAAAAACCCAGCCTGTTGTACAATATTTTAAGGTGTGTTACCTTTTTTATGTTGCATTTGTTTAACTCTGTGAAGCTTTGTTACTTTGCCTGTCTAAAACACCTGATGGTCCAATAATGAGCTGAATGGCCAATAGCAAGGCAGGAGAAAGGATAGGTGGGGCTGGCAGGCAGAAAGAATTAACAGAAGGAGAAATCTGGAAGAGGAATGATGAAGGAACAAGAGAACAAGGAGAGGAGGACATCAGGGACCAACCACCCAGCCACACAGCCAGCCATGGAGTAAGAATGAAAGTAAGATTACAGAAGTAAGAAAAGGAAAAAGCCCAGAGGAAAAAGATAGACAGGGATAATTTAAAGTTAAGAAAAGCTAGCAAGAAACAAGCCAAGCTAAGGCCAGGCATTTATAATTAAGAATAAGCTTCTGTCTGTAATTTGTTTGGGAGCTGGGTGGTGGGCCCCCCAAAAGAGCAGAAACAAACACCACCACCAAACAAACAAACAAAAACCCCGTCATCCAGCTTCATTGTATGTGTGTCTGTATGTCTGTCTACTTCGTTCCCTTGCTACCCTGAGCTGAGGTTCAAGGACCCAAGCTATGAGGAACAGGGTACCATACAATATTGCGATCATTCTTCCTCCCGTATTACCCCTCTACCCTACTTCTTATCTAAAGTGCTAAAGGTTTTCTATGTATGTTTTAGTTTTTAGCTATTTCTTCCACAGGAATATAAATTCAATACATTTATTTTTATTTTTTACTATATTAAAAACTTTAAATAGTCTCATATTAGGCACTCAACAGTCTGATGAACAAATATTGTGAGCATCTTAAATATTAATGAATAACGCCTTTGAGCTTATTGTAGGAAAGAGGAGGACTAGGGATCCTAGAGTGAGTCCCCAACGCTTTCAAATGCTCAGCTGAGATTCAGTGTGATTTGTCTCTGTCTTCCAGTCTCCTAGTTGTTAGATGTGCCACCTGGAAATAACTGTGCTCTTTTAAAAACATCAGAAATACGTAGTGGACTGAAAAGAAAGTGACAGATTACACTCTGTTGGCTAAAATCAACAGCATCTCATATCAGAGTCTAGCATGGACACGTAGTAGAAGTCACCAGAAGATTTTTTTTAAAGTAAACATTATTTGAGTACTTAGGATATGGAAAGAGGACACAAAGATGATCCAGATGCAGGCCTTCCTTGGAGATGCTCCGAGCCTAATGGGCAAGGCAGTCATGGAAGTGGACAACTACACAAAGTGACTGTCAGCTCAACTGTTCGTGCTAATTAGACCCATCACAGGCCTCAAGATTCCCACAAGATGGGGGTAAGGAGGCAGAAGGGCTAGGACACTTGATTGGGCCTTTACCTCGCCTGGAACACCTCTGTCGTCCTGTATCCCACCTCTGTGGGCAAACTGGTCTGCTCCTGGAGAGAGAGGCTATCTTGACGGCACAGAAAGACAGCTTACTCTGAAATCTGAGTGCCCGGGTTTCAAATCTTACTGTGTACCTTGTACTCAGTTTCGGATCTGCTAGCTACAGCCTACAGAGTGACGTGGCACATGCGGCCTTCTCCAGCTGGCCCCTGGAGACTCCTCCAGGCTCACCCGCCCCCCCCCCCATGCTGGGTGCCTTCCTAGTCACAGCTCCCTACTTTGACACCTTTGCTCAGCCTTCCCGACTTTGACAGCCCCTTTCCTGGTTCAATACTGGGCTCTGCTGTCACCATCTCTGGGCCTTAAAGCACCATTTTCCTTTCCTCCAGCATCTGCTCTTGCCTTTTCCTGTCTACTCACCACAGAGAAGCCAGAGGAATCTATCTGCAATATGTAGGACTTGCCATGATGCTTAAGCTGGCAGAAACAAAGAATAAAACTTCATTTCTGGATTTAAAGCCTGTATTTTTTTTTTTTTTATAACAGCTAGCCTGGAACTATATAGAGCAGGTTGACCTCTGACTAGGAGATCTCCCTGCCTCTGTTTCCCAAATGCTGGAATTAAAGTCATTGGCTACCATGCCCAGCAAACCCATAAACTTTACTGTGGCCCACCAAGATATGTGACACCCCTCACCCACCCCACCCCATCGCCACCCCCTGGGTGTTCTCTCCACTCCAGCCAAACTAGCCTTTCTTGCCCAGTGTATCATGTTCCGCTCTCCCTGGCAACCTTCGGACATGCTTCCTGCTTTTACTTCAATATTGTCTACTCGTTTGTCAGCGGTCGTCCGTTCAAACCTCCTGTCGCTCCCCCACCTCACCCTTACCTTTGCCCTAACAGTAGTTTTAGAGTTAACTGTGAGCTACTTAGTGCCCTATCTCCATCTCCCTCTGAATAGGGACCACACATCTTGTTCATCACCATGGCACAAAAGGCGCCTAGAGCTGAACGTGGCACGAACAGGTCCTCCAAATGTATGTTAACTCATACTTAGTCACCAACAGATGTTCAGCCCTTCGTGGTTGTCATAGAGGTTTTCTGAGCCTGGGAAACACTGTAGTGTGTTGTCCAGATCTCCTGTCACTAAAGACTTGAGATTCCAGCTGCTAGCCATGTTAGTTCACAAAAAGCCTTTAGCTGTCAGCTGCTCCAGATAAGGAGCCTTCTCGAGATGCGCCTCCTGCCAGGAGACACTATTCCAGTGATTGACAGGACTGTGTAAAAGGTCTGCTATCTCAGAGTCTGCTGGGTGAACCAAAAGATTATCCCCAAACCTCCTGCGCTGCAGGAATCCAAACCGCTGTAGACTCAGGCTCCTTTGTCTCCTCTGACCTCTCCAATTGGGTAAAACACTACATTCGTTAACCTAAAGCTCGCATACATCGTTCGGCTATCAAAGTGTTTCCCATCGTTTTTCTATTGCAGTCCGGTACTCCCAATTCTATACTGTGTATTCCCGCGAAGAAACTGAGGCTCAGAGTGGTAGAGCGATCCCCCCAGGCCAGGCACTATGTAGAAGCTAATCTCACAGATTTTCTCCTCTCTTTCCCTATTAAGTCTCTGCATCCTGAGCATGAGCGAGCAAATTCATAGAGGCGAATTTTGGTCTCAGACTCAAGAAAACAGGATCCTTGGATCTTTAGCTGACCGGCGCAGAACAGCTGGGGAAACTGAGGTCCAGAGGCAGGACTCCATGCCTGCAGAGGCGACCGCGAAGGGGGCGCGTCCTGCCCAGTGGGCCGCCTCCTTCCGCCCCTAACGCGGGGTCTCCCCTCCCGGTCTCTTCTCTCGCCAAGCCGCCACCTCGGAAGCGAGCCATGATTGCAGCCGTGGCGGCGGCGTGGCTGCTCCTATGGGCCGCGGCCTGCGTGCAATCCGAGCAGGACTTCTACGACTTCAAGGCGGTCAACATCCGGGGCAAGCTGGTGTCGCTGGAGAAGTACCGCGGCTCGGTGAGTGACGGTCCCCTGCGGGCCTGGCTGGGCGGGAGCAGGGCTTGATGGGGCACCCGGGCCGGGGCTCTTCGGGGGATGCTCCCCTCGGGTGTGTCACAGCTCGGACGCCACCCTGGGGATCCCAGCCCCGCGATCCATCCATTTGGCGCCCCCAGGCCCTTGCCTACTCAGGCCCGCGGCTACGTGGCACAGGCGCTGTCTGCGCTCTCTAGGGCCGCCCGGGCTTTGCCTCTCCTAAGAGTAAAAGTAACACTAGCCTTTGCCCCTCCAGTCCGACTTTTGCGCCTAGAACAGTGGGTCCAATGAGAACGCGGAGAGACAAATAAATGTGCAGCGGAGGGAATGACCATCTAAGATGGACCCTTGCTTGAGTCTTAGAATGCACACTTAAGGCCCTGAGAACGAAGACGTGGGCAAAGGACCACACAACAGTAAAAAGCTGGAAGAGAACCCCAGCTACACCCTTCCCATCCTTGGTCCTCTCAAGGCCCACCCCTTAGAGGCAGTTGTGATGGAATTGCTGGCCATCCAGTCAGACAGGCTCCTCCTTGCTAGACTGAATCACAGTAAGGAAGTGTATCAGGATTGGGTCTTTTTAATAATAATAATAATAATAATAATAATAATAACTCAAGACAGATTGCGACAAAGAGAGCTGGCCAAGTCCAGAAACAAGCAAAACCGTAAGAAGGGTGGGGAGGACCAGGGATTTCAACAGTGGTACCTGAAGGATACAAACCCCTGGGCTAAATGGTGGTAGATGAGGCTGATGGGGCCCAGGAGAGCCCAGAGGGTCTCTGAACTTAGTTCAGAGTTGCTAACGTTGTTCGTGATGAAGAATCCTCTCAAGAGCGGGGTCTGGTGTTGCAGGCCTTTAATCCCAGCTCTGCTCTAGGGAGGAAGAGACAAGCTGATCCCTGTGGGCTCGAGGGCAACTTGGTCTCCAAGTAGAGACAGACAGGGCTACCTAGTGAGATTCTATCTCGAAAAAAATAATAATAATTAATTAAATTTTAAAAGTCTTCCAAAGAATCTTCTGCCTCTTGAGATGAAGACCCTGGTGTGAAGATGTGTGTGGCGTTGGACATAAATGGACCCGTGAGCCCATCATCCAGATTTGGATGGATCATGAAAGAATGGCTATCAGCATGCTTTTCTTGGGTGCAGGGCCATCTGTGGGGACAAAACTAATTTTGATCGCCTTGAAATTCTCAGTTATGCTGGGAGTCCTTGCTCTGCCCAGTGCACTGTTTCAAAGGGAGAGGTCAGCGTGGAAGTACTTGGTAAGCTTTACGCTGCTGTGTGTACTGTAGGTCTCGGTCAGTGACCTCATCCAAACTCCAGACAAAGAGTAGCAAAGAGCAGGGCCCATTCCTCCCCTCTAGTATGGCTGGACAGAGACCCCAGATACACCCTGAGCAGCTCCTCCAGTCACTGAGTCATTGTTTATTACTCAGCACCTACTGTATACGAGCTAGAAACCGAAGCCCTAAAGATGAATAGCGATGAGCAGAAGAAGTTTATGTTTTAATCAAGCTTATAAGGAGAAAAGACAATAAATGAGGCACTAAAAACTGAACCAGGTAACCCCAATAGCAATAAGAGATGAAAGAAAAAAAATAGACAAGATGTTTTCAACTACTAAAAGGAATAGTGTATAGAGTTAGCCTGAAATGGTGATGCACACTTTTAATCCCAGCACTTGGGTAGCAGAAGCAAGCAGATTACCTATGAGTTCATAGCCAGCCTGGCCAATATAGCAAGTTCCAGGCCAGCCAAGGCTACATTAGGTAATGAGATCCCATCTCAAAAAAATTAAAAAAGGTAGAGTTAGAGGGTCAGTGGGATTGTTCAGTCAGTGGGTGTGCCACGCCTGAGGACTTGCCTGAGCTCAATTCCCAGGACTTAGATGGTAGAAGGAGAGAACCACTTCCTGGAAGTTACTCTCTGGTCTCCGTACCTGCACACCACACTGTGTAGGATCACCCTACCCCCTGGTTTGTTTTGTTTGTTTGTTTTAAGAGGTAGAGTTAGAATTTGAACCCCCGCAGTACAACTCTAGAGACTCTGCCCTTAATTGCTAAACTCAGAAAGAAACCGAGGAGCAGTCAGTCCAGGGTGGCTGGTTAGCTGAAGCTGGGCCTGCTGCTTGGGGCATACCTTCATTTGTTCATTACAAAACCTTTCCTGCCTCCTACTCCATGCCTGATACTGAGTGACAGTCATAAGGATAACTAGGATGACAGTCATTTAGTCCATGGTTCAGCATGAGTGTTGAGGTCATCACTTGGGAATGTGCTGACTTCCTGGGTGGAATGCATGAGTGAGAGAAAGAGAGAGGGGGGTTGTGTGGTTCATCTGCTGGCTTCTATCTACACATCTGAGTCTGTTCCTGTGCATGTGTATGCGTGTATGTGAAGAAGCTATTCGGTTTCATGGGTGGAATGAGAAGCAAGAGGCCCCCCTTCACAAAGACTAGGGAGATACACATGATAAGGTGAAAAAGAAGCATCTTAAAATGCATTCAATAAGGTCCAGCAGGAGAGAAGGTAGGAGACCCTTACCTGGAGAAGGAAATTTAGAGTCCTGATTTCTTACCATCCCGGGCAGAGTATGCAATGGGTCAGATTAGCTCAATGATTCTCGGCTGGGGCAAAATTTGAAAAAGATTTTTTGCTAGCTGGATGGTGGTGCATGCCTATAATCCCAGCACTCAGGAGTTAGAGGCAGGCAGATCTCCGTGAGTTTGAGGACAGCCTGGTCTACAGACAGAGCAAGTTCTAGGACAGCTAAGGCTACACAGAGAAACCCTGTCTCAAAAAAAACAAAACAAAAAAATTCTTTTTTAGGCCAGGTGGTGGTGGCACACCCTTTAATCCCAGCACTTGGGAAGTAGAGGCAGGTGGATCTCTGTGAGCTTGAGGACAGCCTGGTCTATAGAGTGAGTTCCAGGAAAGGCTCCAAAGCTATACAGAGAAACCCTGTCTCAAAAAACCAA